TATTCGATAATCTTCTAGGAACTTTAATAAGCTGTGATTCGGAGCTCAACCTAAAACTGACGGATGTGACAGTAATTCGAGATGCTCAGAAAACTGAAGAACCAGAGTATCATGTAATTGGGAGACATATTAGGTAAAAACACATATTTTTTAGAAAACATTTCTCTAAAAAAAAAATGAAAATTTAGATTCGTTCATTTCCAAAATCATGTGAATGCGCCGGCAGCGATTCGTCGATGTATAAATGGAGTGCAAGCCGGGAAGCCGAAACAGAATAGGCGACTTGATCAGAAGCAATTCGATACCGGGCGAAAGTTTATTGATCGAGGAAATTATTAGTTTTAAGTTGGTAATTTGTCATATTTCTCATGTTTTTAATAAAACTGGTTTTCTGATTGCAAAAACTGAGTTTTATTCGATAAACTGCTGAAAGAAGTTGATGATTGTGTGCCTACTGTATTAAAGGCGCATAGTTTAATTTGTAAATTCAATACTGGTTTCTAATCAGAAAAATTAGGAAAAAAAAACATATATATTATATGAACATTATTACAACTTTTCCGATAAAAAATTTCAATTTAGTAAATCCTATTTTAATCAGTCTTCTTTGCATCTTTCGCTGGCTCAACTGCCTCTTCCTCCTCGATCACGTCCTCAGCGCCAAACACAATTTCAGCGAAATACCTTGAATTTTAAAACTATTAGCCCGTGAACCTTTCAAACTTACCATGCAATCAAAGGACTAAGCCAATAAACAAAAAGATGACCGGCATGAGAAACACCCAAACAATTGAAAGTACACGCCCAGGCGACAATCGGATTCGCGTACATTCCAGTATAATTGATTCCGACTGCACAGAGAAGTCCCGAAAAGACACAGTTGGCCACGGAGCACAGTTTGGTGTCTCCGTCGTATCGCTCATCCACAAACTTCTCAAACCATTTCGCCAAAAATGTGGCGGCTCCCTCAATTATACAACCAGTAGTGATAGCTACTGTAAGATCAGAAGTGCAGGAGTCTTGATCCAAAAGTTCCAAATGAACGGGATGAACTCCGAAACTCCAGAATAACCTAGCAACAAAGTAGGAAAGATAGGCTGAAAATATATTTTCAGAAAAACGAAAATACTCTAAATAGATTTACCGGCTGCCAATTGAACAAAGAAAACGTAGATTCCTCGACGGATTGCTTTACTCTTACGGTAACAATTTGTGACCAAAGGACACGGATGAGCAACAGCGTCTCTTTGAAAGTAACAATTTGCCAACTCGATTACAGTAATCTCTATGAAAACTCCCAATAATCCGTAGTTTTCCAAAATGGTTCCTACATCGAACATTGGCACACATATTTGTAATGTCCCGATAAACTGAATTTTTGTTCATTTTTTAGAAAAAAAATCTCATCGAGCTACCTCTAAAATCAGAAGAGCCGACAACCGTTTTGGGTTGTCGAATGAGGTCACGACGAGGAATCGAAGAAGCTCACAAATTGCAAAAACCGACCCGTAGAATATCAGAGAAGCCACCCAAATTCTCATTTTCACTGCAACAAATATCAAAAAGTTTTTTGGAATTTTCAAAAAAAAAGAGCCGGGCGGCTCAACTCAAAAAAAAAAATCAGTGTGATGTGCTCTTTTACCCGGATGAAAGATATCCTTTCACTTTTTGTTTTCTCTCTTAATCTCCGTCTCGTTTTCAACTCTTGGAGACGCACACATACACAAATAAAATCCAAGTTCATTTTTCATTCATCGTTAAATTTCATTGAGAAACGAGAGAGAAAGAGAGATAGAACTCAAAACTCACATTATTGTTCACATGGCGGAAAAAGAGGAGAAATAGAGCACAAGACGTACATCATTCCGATAAGAAATTGTTAATAAAAATCTGAAATGAAAAAAAAAAAGAATTCGCAGCGAGCAGGGTTCGAACCTACGCGGGCATAGCCCATTGGATTTCAAGTCCAACTCCTTAACCACTCGGACATCGCTGCCCGCCGAGAGAGGGGTGCAAATGCCCCTCAAAAGTTTGCGTAGTGGGGGGAGAGAAGAGAGGAAAAGAAGCGCAGGCGTCCGTAAGTCTGTTGCGTCAAACAGCGGCGAAATTTGAGTGGCTTCTTCCTGTGAGTGCTTATGGAGTGCCCTTGTATAAAAGGAATTCGTCGAATATTCTAGATCCCTTTCCATGCTGTTCTATGCTTTTTTCTCCATTTTTTGTCCGTTTCCAGTCCGTTTCCAGGGATTGCCACGTCAGAGAGAAAGGTTGTTGACCAGAATGCACTCTTCCCTACTACTCTCTTCAATACCCGATGAGATAAACAAGAAGGGCATTCCCCAATGAGACAGAAAAATAGAGGGAGAGGGAGAGAAAGGAAGGCCTCGAAAATTCTACGTTCACTTGAATTTTTTTTGTGTTTTCTCTTTTTTTTGCTGTGTTTTGACCTAGTTCACGATGTGCTGATGGGGTAAGTTTTTATTGATTTGTATGGGAGATTTAGGGTTTTAGAAGGCAAGGCCTGTCAGGTCATCAGTTTGATAATGAGGGTCTCGGAGACTTGATTTCAAGAAGTTTTGGTTTTTTTAAAATCCAAATCAGGAATCTAGAGCAGGATCCAATCGAGGATTCTGGAGAATTTCTGGAGTCCGCAAACACCGCAACTGACACCATCACGTCAGATTACAGACTCTTTAGTCCATCTAGACCATGTTCCACTTCCCTCCCTACCGTAATCTTCGTCACTTCCCAATTTCACAAAGATCACAACTCAGCTGACTCCTTCTTCTCTCTCCCTTTTTTTTTAGTTTCGTAATATTTACCAATCAATTTCATTATTTTTTTTCACCTATTTTTAAAAATTGACTATTTCAAAATTTTTTGTTATCACTCAACATAAAAAACCTCTAATCGCTTCCTATTTCTTATCGAAAGTTTTTATTGATTTTGATTTTTTAAGTACAAAGTTTACCAGTTTTGCATCACGGATCTAGAGGGAGAGAGTTTTGGTTTTTGATGATTTTTCGAAGCCAGTCGTACTTAGGAAATTTCGGCCCTGCCCGTCCCGGTCAGCCCGGATCGGAATTTTCGAAAAAAAAATTTTCAAATTTTTTTTGCAAAACTCTTCTAAAAGTGTTTCAACCCGAAATAGCATCATAAAACACCATTTTACTTTAAAAATCACTTATATAATAATCAGCTCTGAAAACGCGTATGAAGCCAGCGAAATATTTTTCAAATATGGGGAACTGACTGCATACACCACATATTACGGTAATTTGCGTACTGACACTCCCGTCCACTTTCGCAAAGCTTCCAAAAAAGTTGATAATCCTGGTGGATCTAGCTCACCTGAGGGAGGAAAAAAACTAATCATATGGATGAAAAAAAAAATATTTGGAGAACCTCGAGCACATTAGATTAATGGGATTATCGGAGCGCATTTTTGGAGAGCAGAAGAACAAAAAATTTGTAGTTTTGTCCAAAAGTGCCCTTCTATAAGAGAGTTCTCCAGCTTTTCTCAGTCTCTTCTCCTCTTCGAAAAAACAGAGTCCAAAAAACCCGTTGGCTGGAAATAATTTCTCTTCTCTCTCATTCATTTTCCAACTCAAAACAGCTGATCGTCTTTCTCAAATCCCTCTCTTCCACCGACTCTCTCAATTTGTTTTTTTTTCGTTCGTGGTTCCATTTCCTTCTCTTTTTGTTGCTGACTATGGGGGGGAGGCCTGGGGGTGAGTGAGGGGTGAAAGAGATAGAAAAAAGAAAGAAAAGCAAGCAAAAAAAAGAAGTAGAGACACTTTCACTTTTCGAACGAGACCCCCACTTTTTTATGTCAGAGTGGGTCTGGAAGGAAGTAAAAATAACAAAGATCAGAGGGGCGAAGGATCAGGAAGAAAATTCAGAAAATGGGAAGTTTAGGGATAGTTCCAGAAGAGAGAAGGGATCAAGCCTAGGTCTCGCAGCGCTCGGGAAAACTTCTTACTGTAGTTTTATTTTGAATCTTTTATATTTGATGTTAGAAAGTTAATTTTCGAGATCTGATAGAAAATTCCAGACGATTTTCGAAATTTCGTGAAATTTCGGCCCGGCCCGACAATTTCCAAGGCCCGGATTAAAAAAAATTGAATTTTCATTTTGAAAAAATGTGCACTTTTTCAGAAAATTTCAAATTTCAAAAATGAAAATTCATCAAAAGGGCCGGGCTTGGAAATTGGTGGGAAGGCCCGGCCCGTCACAAGTATGAAATTAGGAGCACGTTAACCGATTTTTGAACTTTTTGTGAGCGCCAAAACCCGGAAAGCTGCTCAAAAATCACAAATTGTCGTAAGATATGATGCCAAATCTGCAAAAACCCCAAAGCCAACACACTGACGTCAGATTACACATTTCCTCCCTTCCTTCCAAAATTGTATTGTTGTGACGACGGAGCCACATTATCATTCCACTCTTTTTAGTCTCTTCTTTGAATCATGACCATTTGTTGATTCAGTACATTGGGAGAGTACGGTATTACAACCAGGAAGTGCCGCCTCCTCCTCTGTTCTATGATTATTATGAAACTGAAACATTTCTTGTTCTTCCAGAGCCTCTCCTCATCTAGTGATATCTCTGAAAAGATTAAGCATAATGCACTTTCAAAATGTGCCTCTCTCCCTCCTGACGGCTCCTGGCACCTATCCTTTTCGAAATCCCATTTTCCCTTCTCGTGACCTATCATTTCCATTCATCTCTCGGAGCGGCGTATTCTTATTCTTTTTGACGGACGTCTCCTAGATACTGCTTCTTCGGAAAAAAGCACAAAAAAAACCCTGCGGAGAGTATACACTCAAAAGGTACTAAGTCATCCAGTTGGAGTGTTTGAAGTGGGCGGAGCTTAGGGGCAGGTTGAAAACAGTCAACATGTTTTCATCATTCTTTACACATTGGATTTTTGAAAGTTTCCGTTCTCTTTTTTGCATTTTTTTGATTTTTTGTTTTTAAAAGAAAAAAAAAAAGAGATTCCATGCCAAGTGGATTCGAACCCCTGACCTTTTTCTCTTGAGACAGAGGCTTAACCGGCTGCGCCACTCGGCCAGAACTGAGAGAGAGTTCCACTTGTCGTTAGGCGCCGGCGGTTTTCTGCCTTTCTTGAGAGTCCGCAGAGCGAGAAGGAACCAAAATCAATTTTCCAAAAAAAAACCAAATAATCCTCTCCCCTAAATTCATTTTCTCTGAATCATCATAAACTCCATTTCTCTCCCCGCCCTCTCAATTCCCCACACTATTTTTTTTGACATGTTGATATCAGGCGTTTTCAAATGAGAGAATAAAAAGCTCTTCATCAAGCGAAGGGATTACATGTCCATTTATATTTTCACTCCGTCTCCTCATTCCTCCTGCTATTTCTCTTGTCTCAACTGATTGAATTGGAAGGGGATGAATGAATAAAAAAGGAAGAAAAGAGAGCATATCTTTTTGAGATCCTCCTCTCATTATTCATTGAAAATGATGATGGAGGAAAAAGAAGCAGAAGCCGTCAAGTCAATGGAAGGCGGCTCCCTTGCTATCCAAAAAAAAATGGATGTCTTGATTATACCTTTTGCATCTCTTTCTCTTTCTAAAACACAACTGCACTCTCTCTTCTTTCCCCTCCCGACGACTGCCCTCTTCTCACCCCACAATTTTTGTTTCGATTTCCGCCAATTCCTTGACTTTGCTCTTTTTTTGGTGGCTCTGGCTCCTTTGAGAATTTTCGATTTTTGTTGGCTACCGTAACCCTTGGGGATTTAGGGATTTAGGTATTTTAGAGGGTTTTAGGTTAAGTTCCCCCTAATAAAACGGCATAAATTTATTAGTCTAGACTAACTAGGCTCGACAAATATTTTTTTTTGAAAAAAAATTGGAAAAAAAGAACGCTTGACAAACACCGAAAGCGAAATTCGAGGTCGAAACTTGCACTTATTGGTGACCAAATTCAAAAAATTGATTTTGATTTTGAACCTTGAGGGACCGGAGCCCCAGGCCTTTGCGAAATCCGGTGACTTACAGTCAACCTTGCTCCCCCCCCCCTCTTCGCACTTACGAACACCTCCACTCTCCTCTATGCCCTACACACCACGTATAGCAGAAGAACGCGGTGCCGTGTGGTTAGCGCTCTTGTCTTCCACGCGACAGGGGTCGGGTTCGATTCTTTTCGGGGTCAAAATGTTTTTTCTTTTTTTTAAAAGTTTTTTTGTCGTCAGTCTTGTTGTATTCTACAACCATATCTGAGAATGCCAACACATTTTCCCTTCCAACATCATCATTACGAATTAGTTCTTCTCATTTTCGTCGTCTTCTTCCACTTGATTCATTCCAAAGTGCATATCTCTTTTTTCCTCTTTTTTTCGCTTCTTCTACTTTTTTTTCATTGCTCAGTGAGCTGCTCAACATCTCCTTCTTCTGCAGGGGCACCAGCAATTTTTCGTGTCTCTCTCCTCCTGCGTCTCTTCGTCTTCCATTCCTAGGCTCTCCTCTTCTTGCCCCACATAGATTATCACTTTATGTTTCACACTACTTACACGTCATCAATGTAATAGAAGATCAAAAGAATCAGAAGGAGTAGTTAATGATAACGTCATTTTCATATTATGTGTAAACCTTTCTCTTTTTTCTAAATCCCTTAAAATCCTTGAAAGGGATTTCTCCTCTCAAAGATCATCCTGTTCTGATTCTTTGATTTTTCATGATTATTTTTACAATATGACATGGCTTAGAGCCCATCAATTAGTGGGTGTTTTTTTGTTTTTTTTTTGAATTTTGCTCTGATATAAGTTAGGTCAGGGGAAGCTGTTCTCCAATTTTCGAAAATTGTCGTAAGATATGGCGCCGAGTCCGCAAACACACTGCTGGCACCATACGGTAGATTGCAGACTTCTTCATCCGTAATAATCTGTTCGCATCATCTCTTATCTGCGTTCGCCTAGACAAGCCAGAAAAGCGGCAGTTATCTAATAGCCCTCTATACCAACTTTCAAGATGCACCGCGTGGCTTAGTGGCTAACGCGTTTGTCTTCGAAATTTTGAACTCGGGTTCAATCCCGCCAGGCGCCTTTCTTTTTTTTTTTAATTTTTTTTGAATCAGAACCGTCCTGATCTAGACTTTCTCGATCTTTTAGCCTACCCAAATGATGGGCCCAGTAGACTGTGACGACGAAGTTTGTACTTCTAATGCCTAGCAGCTCTACGTCTCATTTTAATGTCTAGACGGCAAGAAAAGTTTGAATCAGATTGCAAATTTCGGGGTTTTTTCCTCTTGGTTTGCTAGTCTTCTTGAAACATTTTCTACCTTTTTTCTCTCTCTCTCTCTCTCTCTCTCGCTTCGCATATAATTCCAAAAATTCTCAAATAATTTCAGAATCTTCATCGGAGTATCTCAAACATCCCCTCTTCCATCCACCCCCATCATTCATTTTTTACTCCATTTTTTTCAGTTTTTCTCCAAGAATAGGTGAGTATTTTTCTTCTCTCTCTCTCTTTTTTTTTAATTTTTTTTTGGTTTTGTTTGCATTTCCATTCCGATGACTGACGACCAAAATATTTACTAGATGGGAGGGGCTCCCTCACTGCCACAGGGAAAAGCTTTTTTTGAAATCGAATGGAGAAAGAAAAAAAAAAAAAAAAAAAAAAAAAAAAAAAAAAAGATTTGACCCCTGCCGGAACCGAACCCGGGTGTGGAAATTAGAAAAGAAGAGCGCTAACCACTACACTACGGGGCAACAAAGCGTATAAGGAGCGGAGGGCCATTTTATTCCCCCTCTCCCTCTCTCTGACTCTCAAAGCAACCACAATGTTTCAGATAAAATTCGCTAGTCCAAAAATGCTAATGGAATCACAATGTATGGGTGGAGGAGGTCAGAATGGAGGTGCACATCATCATCCGCCGCCAATGGGACATCAAGTCTATCCGTTTCGGGATCGGAAGAAATCTTGTGGTGGGTCCTTTTTCTCAGATTTTTTTTTTCAAAAAAAAACAAGAAAACTATCCGCATGCTTACTTCTGCTATAGTTTGTTACCAGAAGGTTTCCGCCGCTTCGCGGCTTCAACCTTCTGGGTTCACGTGAATTTTGAGAATTTTTCTATTCGCGAAACTTTTCAGTGAGTTTGAGCCCTATCTTAGCACAGAGGTCCCTCGGGCTCCAAATGAAAAATGAAAAACAGGGGCATCATTATTGAGTTAAGCTCTTTCGATATGTGAATATCCCGTGCGAATCGGACAAAAACTGAATGAGCTAGGCTCGATGAGGGACAGACAAACAACAAACAGACGGAAAAGGTGTTTTAGAATATAGTTTGTTATTGTTTCTGAAAACTTAACATAGGTACACCTCCAACATCCCCTCCTTCCTCGTCTTCCTCATCATCATCATCGTCATCTTCTTGTGGACGTCTTCCAGCCTTTGCTCGTTTCTCCCATCACCATCCCGGACCCAGCTCAGGTATCTCTCATCGTCGTCTTCGTCGTTCTTTCTCTCTCTATCTCTCTTCCTTTCTTCTTCTGTTCAACACTGTTCCCACTGCCAACAAACGTCAGAATACTCCGCCACATCCAACTCATCATCGCCGTGCTCGACGCCAACACGGTCTGGAACGACGACGCCGACTCAGCAGAGCTATATGACAGAATGCCAGATGACGGGTGGCCCGCAGAGTTATTATCAGCAAAGTGCTCCGCCGAGGCCTTCGTTCACTCCGAATTACTACTATCGGCATCACAATCATCATCATCATAATCAACACCACAATTATCACGCAGGTTACGGTTTTCAGATTTTTGAGTTTTTCAGGATAGTCAGCTTGCTCAGAATATTCTAGTTTTAGAGCATGAAGCTAGACGGTTTGACATAATTGAATTGAAAAAAAGATGGATTTATAAAAAATTGAAAAAAAACTCAGACTTGCCACGTCATAGGGGATTTTCTGCAAGTGCGCCTCACCGGTCATTTCTGGACCGTTCAATGGAGCGTAGTTTCCACATGTGAAATATCCATTTTTCATGAAACTAGGCTTTCGAAACCGTTGAAGTTTTGGCTTGCAATTTTCAAATTTTTGTCTCAATTTCAATTGATTTTCATAAAAATTAGAACAAAAAAATTTTTTTAATGTCAAATTTTTTTTCAAAAAAAAATATTGAAATTTTATTTTGTACTAACTTTTCAGAAAATCGAGTCGAAAAATTTGAAAATTTCAAACCTAATTTTCAACGGTTCCGAGATGTTTGGTTTCGAAATGTCGCGGAGCCGTTTTTTTTTAGGTACCTTCACTTATTTGGGAGGGTTATCTTTCTGTTTCAGTGAATCCTCTAATATAGTGGCACCAACATTCTAGACAGGGAATATTTCTTCAAAATGCCCCTCATCAAGAAATGGGCCTAGTAGCTCGACATGGTGCAGTTTTTTGGAACAATTCAAATTTCTACCGTAACCCAGACGCCCAGATCCCTCCAAGCTAATTTAGCACCTTTTCAAAATCCTCCAAACTGGTTTTCCCTCCTCGAAAAACAAGAAACAGTAACCCCTCTCTTCTCCAGTAAATTTCCCTTTTGTTGTTGTTGATGGGTGTTCCTTTTTTCCCTCTCTTGCATTTCTAGAGTGGGGTGTTCTTCGCGGATACGACGAATAGGGAGGGAATAAAAAAACAAGTTTTTGCCTCGTTTTCTTGTTTCCGCTTCACTCTCTCAATCCTCCTAACCATGCATTTACTCGTAGAGGGAAAAATATACACTTCTTCTTCTTTTTTTGAATGATTACTCATCTTTCACACGCAGCATACACACGAATTTTTGATGAAGAAGCTCAAATGCAGAAAAATAGAAAAAAAGGAACGGATCAGGAGAAAAACAGATAGATTAAGAAGTGTCATATTCAAGGAAAGGGATTATCATGGATTGCACTTTTTGAAGACGTTCGTGGGATGTGAAAACAGAAGAATCTGGACTTTTGGCTTCTCCTAGGAAAAAGTAAAAAAGATTTGGCGCAAGGTGGAGTTGAACCCAGGTGGAAAATTTGGAAAACAAGAGGCCTAACCGCTAGGCCGCAACACAGCGAAAGGAAG